TGTAAACATTGTTTATAAATAAATGTTAGTAAGGCCAGCCATAGCTTCGGCTCCGCCCACACTGTCACTCTGTAATTGTCAATCACTGAACAGTCGTTCCGCAACGTTCCAAACAATTGAACATCCATTCTATCTTAAGATATCATTCATTCAGTTTTTCGAAGTAGCGAACGACACAACGAGATTCAAACATTTTTCAAAGTTGATTATTCATCACAAACACAAATATCATGCCACCTAAAAAACGACGTATTTCCTATCCTTCATCAGAACATATGAAGGAAGAATTGTCAGACATAGGGATAAAGATTAAGAAAAAGATTTCGCTCACAGCGTTGAGAAACTTGTATATGGACAATGTTATGAATGATGACGCTAACGACGGGATTATACCATCCGAGGAGCAGGATGAAATCGAAATCGGCCCCATCGTACCTCCCGTACCAGTAATGTCTGAAGAAAGAAGAATTATCAAGGATCTTGAAAATAAGGTCGAAAATCTTACTGACGTCGTGAGTTCCCTTGTTAACCAACAGAACATACCGTTCGCTGCTGGCTCAGCTGAGCAAATAGAGAATTCGGCGGCGATAGAGCCAAGACCACGAGATGGATCATCATCAGCAGGCCTCGGTTCCAAAGGTATTCACCCGAATTCTTTACCTATTGTAGACATTATTTCACCCGGGGTTAGAAAGGCGATACAATCCGGGAAATATGTCAACTTAGCATGTTTGCTAGTGCCGTATTAGGAACTTTCGAAAACACCAGCATTAGATACGGATGACGACGGAAAACTCTGTCTGAAGCCCATCAACATGGACAATGACCCAAAGCTTAAAGTCTCTCTTAACATCGCCGAATTTATCACAGCGTTTGACAAGTATAAAAGGGTGATGTGTGAAAAATTCCCAGGAAGACGCGATGAGCTTGATAGATACCAGCATGGTATTTTAGAACTTTATAACTCCTACCCTGGCCCAAAATTCTATGAGTACCATAAGCGTTTCAGTTCCCAGGCATGCGCTGCCTGGATAAATCTGCAAATAAAGGTCGATTGGGGCTGCAGAAATTCGGACTTATGGCAACTTGTACTGAACAGTAAGATCGGTGACAACGTCAAGACACATGTTAGCTCTTCGTCAACAGGAAGCAACATGCTCAACCGCTCAAAGGATATGAGAGGCCGCTCTATACAACGCAAAGATGGCAGGGAGATTTGTAATAATTTCAATAGTTCCCGTGGTTGCACATATGCAGATTGCAATGGAGCACACGTTACAAAACAAACGTCTGAAACCGCTGATGTCAATTCCGTAACTAAAAGTGGAAATAACTGACTAGAACCTAATCTCATGGTAGCGTCCACTCCTGTAAACGTCAAAAAATTAGCATCCGAGTTAAAAATGCACCCAGACAAAAACTTCGTGCAATATATTTGTACTGGACTTACAAACGGATTTGACACCATGGTTAGCGAAATTCAATTGCCGACACTCGAATGCCGTAACCTTCTTTCGGCTAGGAAACAACCGGAGGCAACTACGGAGTTATTAAAGAAGGAATTAGAAAAAGGATATGTTCTCGGCCCTTTCAAAACACCTCCCTTTAAAACGTTTAGGGTAAGTCCAGTCGGCACCCCTCTTTACGTAATACTTCATTACGTAACGTCATTAATTACCGTATTCTTGAACAAGAATGACTTTGAATGCCACTTTATACAATAGCGCGTATGATTGGCACCATATGCGCCCCAAGCCAAAGTAAATGTTAGGTTATTTTATTCTAGTTTTGTTTTATGTAAATATGTTATCTGTATGACTTTATGAATCATAAACATGTATGTCATTATCTCTATTTGATTGTTATGTTATTTATAAATATGAATAAATGATATAAAGATCTACTACCTAATATAAAGCCACCGTTTGTTTGTTTGTTAGTTTGTTTGTTTGTTTTTTGTTTGTTTATGTGCTCGTTAATATGTACAAGGGTATTTTAAAGTTTATCCACAAATTACAAGTTCAGATATAATTTTCACCTGTCTGGTTTTTATTGCTTCAACAATCAACAACAATCGCTTCGTCAGGAAATGACTGGTTATAATACACAGCACAAGCAATCATTTCATCGAACACTTAAAAATATTGTGCAATCTTTAACCATGTCTGTTTCAAGAATTTAAGTCCTATCATTGTAGGCCATCACCAAATGCATCTAAATTCATGTTAATCTGGCATTTTTAATCGATTTTTTCCTCGGCGCCATGAACTTAACCAGGTACATATATCATGCTGAGGTTTCTCACCAGGAAATTTTTAGACTCCGGATTTTTCGCGGTATCGTGACTATACTCCTCCCTCGTGTGAGATCAGAGATATTCTATTAGTATACTTTTCAAAATTCCACAATTAAGATTATCTTCCTATTTTAATCATAATATACATTTCTAATACGTTTCTGACTTCCTATTCCTTGTTTGTATCTAGTTTATGTATTGTCTCAAGAGTTTTACCACAAATAATGTGACAAAAAATGTAAAATTGAACTCCGGAAAAAACACTCTAGACTCCGCAAAAACCGTTAGACTCTGGAGAAAGAGGGTCTTAATACATCTACTCCGGAGTCTAAAAGTCTGGTGAGAACCCCGATGTACCAATGTTTGAGATTCCAAACAATCTAGAATATAGACCAGAAGTCGATTTTTAATTCAGAATCCTGAGAAAAAATTTCCATCGTATTCATGCTAGTAATATTGCATTTAGAGGTCACTGACATAGTTTTCAGACACAAAACTCCCTGGTCGATAAATGGTAAGAATAATCAAAAATCCCTAACGGAATTAGCCACAAAGATAATAACAGAAAACAAAAGAATAACGAAGGACAACCGACAAAACTGGAAAAATAATGAATACAGACTTGACCTGTGACCTAGATGAAAAGTTAACCTAATGCCCAATCTTCTCATAGACAATCCTTCGTTAAATTAACCATGTAAGCAGCTTAAGGTAAGCGTTTCTATTTAGCGAGAAAACTGGAGAGGAGAAAGAAAAAAGAAGAATGAAGAATAGAAAAAGTTGGGTCGATATTCAGATACATTTACCTGAGTGTAACTTCGAGAATAGGCCACTGTTTGTGCTTGTGGCCACACAAATTAAAACACATTTCCTGTAATATTTTCCCGATTTCCAAACATTATTATGTTGTATTTGAGAAAAAGAAACGTGGTGATCTTAAAATTGGACAATTAATTTAACTTATGCTAGAACAGAAAGGAGTTTTTGATATATTTATATTGTATACAAAATAGAGGTATATCAAAGAGAAATGCAATATAATACAAATATACAATATACAAGACTGCCATTGAGGAAATAGTGTAAACTATTTTTCCCGAAGGAATGCCCTGTCCACTGACATGTTCCCCCGAGGTTATAGGCCAAGTGAGCATGTCAGTGGACAGGATATTCCAGAGGGGAACATCTTAACACTATTTCCCGAAAATATGGCAGTCACTATTTGTTTTATAATTATATACCTCATGTGTTCTCTGTAAACAAAATGAAAAGTCCTTTCATTTGAACATTTTATGCTTACAGGTTCTTATTGGCATTTAAAGGCATTTTGCCTTTCAACTCCTATAATCTCAGACTAATGACCAACTGTTTGAAATTTTTTGCCTTATCACTTGACATTTTGCTATTTTCATTTAAATATGACATATCGCTAAATACAAAGTCTTTCATGTGAAACGGACATTATCATCTGCAAAAAGTTATACCAATATGAAAAAGAATTGATAATAAAGTCATCGAATAAAAAGTAGTGTTTTATATACATGGTGGTTCACTAATACAATTTATTTCAATATGTTTTTGAAAATTCATGGATTTCTACGAAACTTTTGCAGAATATCCAAGAATGCACTTGTTCCTTAAAAGGCAAGGCCGCTTTGCACGTGCTGAATAACCATCAACAGATCAAATCGATTATTTCTTACTCGAATTATGTACAAATGGGCAACACTATAATTATAAAGGGATAAAATAGTAGCAATTTAAGATCAATGTCACTAATTTAGGTAACAAAACACTGTCTTCAATTTTGTCATCAAGGTAATGGACCACCGATTATTTTTTGACTGAAATCGGGACATTTCAATTCTTCAATTTATACAATATGCAAGAGGCATTCTATTATTTCAAGCTGCTCAGGTAAGATTGGCATTATTTACATACTTTACGATGTAAAATATATGTGTATGAATAATAATCGACTTATCATGATAAACCATGACATCTCATTTCTTCTCAGCCTTGAGGTGAAACAGAAAGATGCTATGAGCAAGGACGTCTATCGCTATGAGTATCAGAATGTAATTGACTGCTCTTCTCTTGGTACTGATAAGCTCTGATAAGTTGAGCTGCAAAGTTAAAGGCCCCGGTCAGAGTTTGAAAATAGTGTTTGACCATCTAAATATTATTTATCATGACTTAAAAAGGCGTATTAGGAAATTTTCTAGAAAAAGTTGACATTTATATTTAAAAAAAGGTTATTGGTATTTAAATTTTCGAATATTTGAATTTCCTGCAATTTTATCAGCAACGGTTGGCCATAAAATGCAACACTTTAAACTTAAAATATTATTTTCTACACTCCATTAGATATATCGAGTAAAAGTTAAGCTAAGTTCACACCAACGGCGCTTTGATGGCGCTTTAATGCGGCGTGCAAAGCCGCTTCGCACGTCGCTTTAAAGTGCCATCAAAGCACCGTTGGTGTGAACTTAGCTTTTTCAATATATGAGGGTGACAACAACCAAAAATATTGGAAATTAAGTTCACAATTTTTGCACAAATACTCCTTCAAAATCACTATTTTAGAATTTAATTGAAAAGTTTCACATACCACATTTTGATAACATTGTGTAAGACTATAATATACGCCAAAGTGATTTAAACTTTATATAGGGCCTTTAAGGAAATGTAAATTGTAAGAAAAGGCGTGTAGTTCACATTCAAACATGACAGCAGCACATCGTTTATTTGTTATACTGGTCGTTTTCACTAGCGTATGTATCTACATATGTGTCAAACAGCTAACGGGAAAGCACATCGAGGACAAACTTTTTGAATCTGATCATCTGACTACGAAGAACCTTCAGTACAAAGTACCTAATATTGTACACTACATCTGGTACTCAAGGAAACCGACAACTTGGAATTTTATACAGTATCTTAGCATACTGAGTGCATCAAAGTTCATTAGACCATCAAGAATTATGTTCCACACAAATTGCACTCCAAATGGACATTACTGGAATCGAACAACGGAGATATCAGATTTTGAGATTATCCATCGTTCTCCTACAAGAAGTTTGTTCGGTAAGCAAATTCGTTTTCCTTTTGAAGATATCTCAGCCAGTGATATTGATAGACTCATTATACTTAACAGAACAGGGGGTATTTATTTAGATACAGATGTGATAGCGTTACGATCATTTGATCCCCTGCGCGTTTACTCATTCACAATGGGGTCCGAAAGCTTGAATGAAACTGTTCTTTTATGTGGTGGGATCATCATCTCGGAACCAGGCTCAAAGTTCTTGAAAATATGGATCAATAATTTTGTTGATGATCAAAGATCAAAATGGGCATATAATAGTGGACGCATGGCAGACAAAATTGCTTCACGATTTCCCGAAGATATTCACATCGAGATGACGTCTCTCAATCGGCCATCACCAAAAGAAATCGACCTAATATTCGCTACGAACTACAATTGGCATAACAATTATGCGATTCATCTTTTTGTACGAAAGTGGAAAGGACATATTCCAACTGAAAGGGAAATCAATGAATCTGATACAACATTTGGGGATATTTCGAGATCTGTATTGTACGGCACTATTGACCTTCAAGAAGACAAGATCATGAAGAACGACCTTCCTTGACACTATGAAACAATCGATTTAGTGCAAAATTTGTGATATATTTGTACGTAGCAAGCACTAAAAGACCCTTTTAAATCATTTGCAAGGAAAGGGTCCTTCACATTGTTGTGGTCAATTAAAATCGAACTAATGTTTTTATAAAAGTTTAATATATTCTTTAGCAAATAATTCAATTTGACTATGGGAAGTTCATTTGATCAAATATTTCATGAAGAAAAGTAGAGTTGGATGTTTATAACACATAAATACATGGTTATGAATGGTTGTAAAAACAAGAATACTCAATAAAAAAACATATTTCAAAATTTTAAATGAATGGTAAATGGAATGTACTGAGGTGATATATGATTTAAAATAATAAAGCATGAGTTGACATATGAAAGGGACAAATAGAAAACTAAAGATAACCTTTGAGCTCCATAAGCCCAAAAACATTTCCAAATGAAACCTTACACAAGTCATGTATTCAAACGTTTGCAAAACAAATCCAGAATCCTGCAGGCGCCCTTCACTCCCGTCCCTTTCATCCAGACTGTTTATTAGGCTGAGTAGTATGCTATACGTGTCATACTGTTACTATAAAGCCTCGTTTACACCGACCAGTCTTTTACGGGACTTTTTTAAGTCCTCTAGACACGTGTGATGATCAAAAGTCCATTTTGGTCATCACAACATACCTGTACGTATCAAGTAAAAATCGGGATAATTCTTTTTAAAAATCGGGAATAATCGGGGTGAAAATCGCGATTTTCCTGAAAATCGGGAGAAAATCGGAATTTCTATGAAAAAATCTAAAAAAATTGGAATTTATACTAAGAAATCGGGAGAATTAAAATAAGGGGTACAAAAACTATTTGAAATCACTAATCACTAAAAATAAATCGGAAGAAAATTGGGATTGCCAAGAAAATCGGGAGAAAATCACTATTGAATATGACAAAAATGAATAACAATAATCAGCCATAATTAATATAGCATTTATTGCAAATATGGATTAAAACACGAATGCATCATTCAACCTGTCCGGGGTACTATATACAAGTGATGTCATAATATGCATATGTTACCCTGATTGTCACACATATCCAAGTTGATTCCATGTGGATCGTATTGCGGGTGTTGAATAATTTTTCTTTCCTAAAATTAAAGAAAAATTCAGAAAGTTCAGTACTGACTTGATTGTATTTTGAAATAAGTGTTTTGTTTATTTCTGCGCACCTTTTTGCATATGGGTAATATGTTCATTTTATTTTAATGATGATAAGGCAAGTACAAACTAAAAAATATATAAACATTTTTTGTAAATCATCATTCAACTATGCATTTTGTAGAGGAAATAATGCAATGGAGAAGATGCATAAATGCTATACAGAATAGAAAGGGGAGGATAAGATACAAGTATTTTAAAACTTGTTCGTGAACGTGTAGAATCGTGGTTCTTTGGATTATTTTATTTTGTATTCTCCCATTTGTAAGTTGTATACTTGGCCGATTGATGCATGAAGGTATACGGAAAATAAAAGTGAATTGAGAGCGGGAAGCTTCTCATAAAAACTTGTAACCTGGCCTCCCTATGTGATTGATAAAATGCGGATAAATAAAAAAGCGTTTGTAACAAACTTGCTTGTCATTTTTCCCGTTATAATCATCAGGATTCTGCGAGATTTAAAACTGAAATTTGGGTACAATTTTTATTCCGTATATCAACTTTGGAAGTGACCCAATGAATCTACCTCAAGGACACGAGAAACTAGAGAAGCCTACTTGAGAAAAAGATTGCGGGCTGGTTATGGGGGAAAGGCAAATCCAATGAGACAGAAAGCTTAAAGTCTCCGATAAATCGGACTACGTATACCGCCGTGTTTACATTAGGGGATTAGAAGAGTTTATTTTTATTTAGGTATGCAAGCAATATCAATATTAGGCCTTCATGCATGTACTCGTGTGTACAATTAGCATGCCCTTCAATATTATATAAACCAGGCTATTCAAGTACTACATCGTCGCGTGAGAATAACTTTGTACTAACTGCCATTTTCAAAAAAATTGAGATAGACATGGAATTTTACTATTTGAAACACAGGCTTTCATCTCAGATACATGCCCCATCTCAATTCCCTCTCATTAAGCTAGAATTCAGGGAAGATGAAAAGTACAAATGACCAGTTAATTAGATCATGTGAGCAGTCAAAAGTACCCTTTATCTTCCCTGCTACCAGGTCTTATAGGGGTTTGAATGGCCAAATGCAATAGAAATGCATATACGAAACTGTCATCATTAAATGTTGAAAATGAAAGACTACTTATTTGTTTCTTCAAATAGAGTACATAATAATAGGTTATATACTAGATATAGTAATCAAAACAAATAGTAACTGTCATATTTTGCACTACATCGCTCAAAGGCAATCACTGTCTGTATACTATTGAAATCTCTTTCAAAATGATGTTTTATAGTTTGTGGAAAAAAGCTAAATCTATTTCAACTAGCTTTAACTTTTACTGACCATACACTATATCAATAAGGAGTTATCTTTATGTTAGTATAGTCCCTTAAAACACTTATTTTATTTTCTCTTCATCTATGATTTACTTTGCGCTTTTCACTGAACATCTGGGATCTTTTTATTAGTTATTTTATTACTAGTATGTTTTTCAGATTTGTCCTTTCTTTTGCATTTTTGGGATCATTGTTTTTAGATCATTTACATTTTATTTTGGAAAAGTAACAAATTGGTTCAATTTCTTTACAAAGAGCCACTCTTAGTGTCCACCTCTACAATTGCTTCAATTCCCAATTGTACTCCACAGAGTAGCAAACAACAGAAAATGAATGGATAATGATAGCTGCATCCCAATGAACAAAATGTGATTACCTAAATCGAGGTTTCATCACTTTCATTAATCTAAAATGAATTAGAAATTATTTTTCTATTTTCAAATTTCTTCCATGTGCATGTAATAAAAATTGGTTATGTCTTAGGCCCTAAGGATCTGAAACCTGCTGGTCAAAATGGAATTACGGACCAGTTGCAATGTAATTCTCCTATACCCAGTGAAAAAATCAACTGGTCTGTATCAAAAATAACCTGATAATGACCAGCGGACCGGCCCTTAGGGGCTACATTGTAATGTGCTGGGAGGTTTAGGCTACAGGGTTTATACCGAGGGAAATATGTGGGGGACCGTATTGGCATCATTGGTTTCAATGCATTGTACTTCTGCCTTAGTTTCAAAGGCAATAAATTCTTTTTGAAGGGTGTCCTGAGATTCCAAAATTAAGAAATAATTGTACTTATTTGAGAAATTGATTTTAAAGTTTTATAAATTGAATTTTCTTTATTTTATTAAATAATATTCTTTGATTTTTGAAGATTTTTTTACAAAGCAAAACATTATTTTTCATTCTAGATACAATAACATGCATATTGGCATACTTTGTTTTAATATAAGATTGTTATAACTCCAAGTTTTGCAAGTCACATGACCAATTCTTAGAGAGTTGATTGGTTGAAACAGTTGATATCAGATATGACAATTTGAAATTAGAAATAAGCTGATATTCCGGTGGAAAATTGTTCCATTTCCATAGTTTTAAAAAAGGATCTTGTAAATTGTTTCAAGGTATGATATTTCATATAAGATATCTCTAGGGTGAGACCAGGTGACATACAAAAAATCAAGTTTCACATAGCAATACTAAAGCCGGTATACACCAATCGGGCAAAATCCCACTTGCCCCATCGAGTCCCATCTTGCCCCATCGAATCCCAATTTGCCCCATTGAATCCCACGAAGTCCCATGGGACCTTGATGACTTTGCCCCATCGTGCCCCATGGAGTCCCATCAAGCCCCATGGAGTCCCATCAAATCCCACCGTGCCCCATTGGTGTATGTCGGGCTTCACACAACACGTCATATGACCGAAAATCCCACGATGCCCCATGGAAAGAATGAACATGTTCATTCTCGATGGGACTCCATGGGACTTCGTGGGATTTTGCCCCATCTTGCCCCATCGAGTCCCACCGAGCCCCACGTGGGACTTCATGGGACCTCGTGGGACTCGATGGGGCAAGATGGGGCAAAATCCCACGGAGTCCCATGGAGTCCCACGGACTTCATGGGGCAAAATCCCAAAAGGTCCCACGATGTCCCACGCAATGTTAAGTCTATGGAGGTCCCAACTTGCCCCATTGCTGTATACCGGGCGTAAGTAAGATACAGACCTCTAAACTTTCAAACCTTGATTTCTCAGTTCCGTAAAAATGTGAGATAGTACAAAGTTATTCTCATGCGACGACATAATGTACACTATTTATGTGTGTACTACATGGGAATACGATTCCCTGGGAAACAAAACACAAATACTTTTTATATGTTCAAAATGAGCCATTTGATTGATGCATACACTTAAAGGGACCCAACACCATGGTCACATGATCAGTCGTGTGGAGGTAAGCTCCCAGTTGAAATAAAATCACTGTCCTCCTTTGGTTTCTGTGAAAAGTAGATAATACCCTCATGTATTGGTCAGTTTGTGTGTCACACGACTAATCCCCACCATATGCTTCATTCAACATATTTTATGCTATTGAGCTGCATATATAAACAGTACTTTGCAACTAAGGTCATACAGTATACTTACCCCTTGCAAATTGTAATTTATTGAATTCACAGTAAACCCATCAATTTTTAAGAAAACAAAGAATATTGTTCTCATGGATCTATTATTTATGTTAGACTAACTATGAAAATATAAATATGAAATAATATGTTAGCTTGAAGTCATATATAAGATGAAAATATATGTTCATGCATTTGCATTTTTCCAAAGGGAATATTCCCATGTAAGTAAATACAGGTGCAATATATAATTTATATGTATATCTATGTCATCTGTCTATACATGCGCGTATAGCCTAGTGTTACATGTGAACAAGATGGTTCTGGAAAGAAATGAGCGTGGCAGATTTGCTAAAATGCCACATACACCACAAAAGCAAGACCAATTTGAAAGTAAGTTCATTATTCTCAAGGGTACACTTCAGGTGAAAGCTACATTGCTACAGGGTGGCCTATCATTCTGAGACAAATGTATTATCCAACGATTGTGATTTTCGAAGCTAAAATATGATATCTTGAGCAGATGGAAATACATTCCCATGAGATATGTATATATATAGTCAAAAGTGATAACTATTTATTGAGTGTAATGAAATGTATCCTTCGCTAACTGCTTTTGTTTGAGATAATTATCATGAAATGTTTTTAAATCAATTTTTATGTGTGTCATTGATCCTAATCCACCCTGTAGTCTGGTGTTTGTAGAGCATTGCGACTCGTACAACTTATTCTCACAAAAATCAAACCTCATTTACTAATTAATTTTTTGTGTGAATATGAAGAGTCCAAGCATTGCTTTTTTATGTTTATTGTATAGCTATATTTAGCCTTGATATCCATGATTTTTTAAAACAAAATCTCACCGTTAGATTTCGGGCTATTCATGTTTACTCATTTGTCTAATTGGAAAACAATGCAAATCTCATTTTTTCAAAGGAAAAAAATTGAAATTCTAAGACGGTGAAAAATCATTAAAAAATACACAGATTCAGAATCCGGCAAGCATTTTCCCTTATTCCTCTCCGTTAAGAAGTTTTGCAAGGTGTTGGATTCCTTTAATAGCTCATTAATAACATCTACAAAGTATATATAATAGTAATTTTCAATTTCAATGGTGAAACTTGCCTGTTAACGATTATACGGGAAATCAACATGGGACGAAGATTGTTCACCTTCCTGACTTACCTCTGAAGACTGTACCTTGTAATTTCTTTATATAGGTTAGCGAGAGCGCTGCGCCTGCGCAGTTTTAAACTATGGCGCACACTTTAAGTGTAAGAGTATTGAACAAGAGAATTCCAGAAAGAAACTGATGGTAAACGAATGGTATAATATTCATGATCTCCCAACGCCCGGTAACGCAACTCATACACTGGTGATCCACTCGATTACGCTGGTTACCGAAACGGTTCGTTTTGGTAACAAAATGTCGGAACGTCGAGGTACGATTTTTCTTTTTACCTTCTCTCACACGTTGTAGGCAGAATTCCCATGACATTTTTATCACAAACGTATAACAGTATCATATGTTTAAGAAAATGTACATATTTGCGAACACATAGTTCACAAGACGACAGAATCGTCGATTTAATTCTTCACTTAAGTTACAGAAACGGTTTTTCGAAAAACAGTTAAGATCTGCACTTTTAGCCAATACCGTTTATGTAACTTATATCGTTTCGGTAACCAGTGTAATCGAGTGGATCACCAGTGTCATACTACCTTCAAACATTTTTTACGATCTGAATGCAACAATTTTAAAGGACAGCGATGCAGTATGACTCAATCCTTGATTTTCAAACATCCGATCAAAACTTCAAATTACCGGTTTTGCGTGTGGTAATGAGTTTCGATACGCCAGAGTTTGACCCGCGCCCACGGTTCTTACCCTATTTTCAAAAATAAAGTTACATAATGGTTATGTAATCTATTGTGTAAGATTGTGTAATAATATATAATTGTATTAAAGATTCATATCCTACTTCACGCAAACCTATTATATGATTTGTTGGAATGCTAAAACAATAAAAATTACAATACCGTAAGGCTTAGATCGATAAAAACGCAATGTCAAATTTGAGAATCTAATGATCCTCATCACCAACACAGCAGGAGGCGAACCATTATTTTCAATTTGATTTTCTCGAACTATTAGGATGTAACAAAGTACGCTAATGGGTCTTGACAGAGTTGCACTCAAAAGCGATTAATTTGTATTCAACAAGCAGTTTTATCAAATACACTCCGCGTTCAAGAGTTGTTATTTTTTTATTTTTTTTTTATTTATTTATTTGGAAAACGCTTTTAGAGCAGCGGCACTCAATCGGTGCATCCAATACATCATATATAAAATATAAATGGGATAAAACATATCATGCAAAAAACCACTAAAACATGCATACGACTATTGTGTGCACTGTACATGTATTTTCTTTAAAAACAATTTGACATATTTGTCAAACTTCACGTAATTATCATGTCCCCACAAGATCAAAGTGTCATCTCCCAGAGCCCAACATGTTTTTAGTTGTACACTTCCTGCTAGAAAGTCAGAGGAGAGTTGGTGGTTGCAGTTTGACACAACATTATTGAAAAATACATTCCTATCACTACCAAAGTACGGACAGACAAAAAGTCTATGCTGTATAGTATCTTTAACATTGAGGTTACAAAAGAGACATATACCGTTGCCTTGACCCCATCTTTGAAGGTCGGAGCGAAGGCCAAAACATCAACTCAATAGGCAATTGTATCAAATGCACTTGATATTCCAATGTGGGACAAAAATTAGGGTAGCTTCCTTAGCAAATGAATCCTAGCACAGGGGGACATCAGACACTTTGAGGACAGACAATCAAATCCAATTCTAAAACAAGGATATAACCAGGCATTAACGTGCAAAATGTCACTACCTGCCATTTGCTACAGATGCCGAGCTCAGACCGCCGAATACCAACCACTGAATGCCAACCGACGAACACCGTCCACAAAAAGATAAAAACTAACAATATGTAACCACTCACTTGTGGTGGGGACATATCAAGAATTCCTAGGATGAACTGTCCATCTCAGGGTTAGCGTATTTCTTATTCAAAGCACAAGAATGGATAAATAGAAACAATTAACCGGTAGTTGTAAAGGTGTATACGATTTATAGACCGCAATCGACGATTGCTGAATATCTGACTCTAAACAGAATTTGATTGGTTCTTTAAAGCATCTTCGACCATCTTCGTGATATAAATATCTTCGGCCATCTTCGTGATATAAACTTGTTCGGACATCTTCGTGATATAAACATCTTCGGCCATCTTCGTGATATAAACATCTTCGGCCATTTACCTGATATAAACATCATCGGCCATCTTCGCGATATAAACATCATCGGCCATCTTCGCGATATAAACATCTTCGGCCATCTTCGTGATATAAACTTCTTCGGCCATCTTCGTGATATAAACATCATCGGCCATCTTCGTGATATAAACATCTTCGGCCATCTTCGTGATATAAACATCTTCGGCCATCTTCGTGATATAAACATCTTCGGCCATCTTCGTGATACAAACATATTCGGCCATCTTCGTGATATAAACATCTTCGGTCATCTTCGTGATATAAACATCTTCGGCCATCTTCGTGATATAAACATCTTCGGCCATCTTCGTGATATAAACATCTTCGGCCATCTTCGCGATATAAACATCTTCGGTCATCTTCGTGATATAAACATCTTCGGCCACCTTCGTGATATAAACATCTTCGGCCACCTTCGTGATATAAACATCTTCGGCCATCTTCGTGATACAAACATCTTCGGCCATATTCGTGATATAAACATCTTCGGCCATCTTCGTGATATAAACATCTATGGTTACAGTGCATCGGTGCTTTCTCTAATGTGAAAATCTATAGTTTCCCATGAAAAAGTATGACCTTTGACCTTTCTGAAAATGACAAAACAATTTCATATTTTAAAAGGTTGTCCTATTTTTAGTATCATCAGTACCGTCGTCGGGCCGATGAGCATTTTGTTCAAATTGCATTCAGTTTTGAACAAAATAATCATCGGACGGGCGCTGGTGTTGAAAGATCGGATCAAATGCGGCAACGGCATTGCTTGGTCTTGTTCCGCCTTTTATCTCAAGGGCAAAGTGAAAATTAAATTACACCAATCTGGTTCGAGATTAATTTATTTTGAAACGGTATCACTGGTCGACAACTTAGTGCTACAAGATGAAAGGGTAACTCGTCATCCACGCCACTTACACTGTTTTTATGGCATCTGAATAAATTCAAATGTTGAGACTTTCCATAGTTAGTCTCTTTTACAATAATAGTTATAAGACGGAATAGAGACTGTTTGAAAGTTCGTTTTGTCCTCTTATTCCGCACACTTTATCACTTAAATGCTGGTGGAATTTATTTCCAATACGATGATTTCCAAATAGACTATGTAACATCTATAGTAGATGCATGAAGTGTACGGATGGATTATTTATTATTTGAATTTCTCAAAGGATGCCCTCAATATCTAACCCCCACTTAGAAAAATAAGAAAAGTACAAAATGAATTTGATATACATATTTTCAAACATTTGTTTATTCCAACATTTAACATTTATCACTTTTTATTTCCTTAATCTTGTAAGACTATCGTCTATAGTAGATTGATGAAGCGTTCATATAAGGATTATTTAATTAGTATTTTCCCGAAGATGCCCCAATATCTAACCCCCACTAACTTATCCTATACTTATAAAAGTACAAAAATGATATACATATTTTCAAACAATTTGCACATAATCAATGATGCTAGTATATGCGTTGATTAAAGCACCATCTATTCATTGCTTTCAGATTTTTAGAAACATGTTATGGTATCAATTCGTTTTCACCTAGCTGTATGTGTTTTCCATTCTTATATTGATACAGGTGCAATATTCCCGGATACTACAGCATCTGTGACAGCAAGTCCCGGAGGCTCTGTAGTATCTGGAATATAGCCGCCATTTGAAGCCCCGGGGCTACCACTGTCTGCTGCGTTAGTTTCGTTCACTGTAACCACGGGGACATCGGCTGATGCAGAACGATGGTCACTTGTCGCAGTATCTAAAGTAACTACTTGAACATCATCTGATGAAGAGCCAATGCCAGCGTTTGAGTCCATTGTAACATCGTCCACAAGTTCACCCGGTTGGTAATCTTCATTTGTAACAACTGGGCTGTTATCACGTTCATCGCCCAAGTCAGTCTCCATTGCACCTTTGTTAACATATGCAAACTCCTCGGTATCATCCTCATCGTTATTCTCAGTCATCTCAAGTGGATCTTTTCCAGCGCCCGTTCGTATCCTATCTTGCGGAACGTTATACTGGTTATCGGGCGAACGGGGCACAGTTCGTTCGAAAATCGGTTCACGGTACAGAACAATCACCTTTATTATGAGCAATATGAATGCCACCCCGGTGAGAATAACGGCGAACATAACATTTATATCCAATATATTTTTTGCGTCTATAGGGGCAATTTTAACGAGATTTCCAGCCATCCATACAAGCGGGACAATATACGGCGTGACGGTGTATCGACTGTACCTGTCAAACAGACATATGTCCAAAAAGAACCATATGAGCAGTTCTATCGATAGGGCCAAGAATCCTACTGTTATTGCCGGGTCTTCCTTCAATCCCCAGCTTAAGATTAATATATCTATGAAGCCAAATATTGTCACCACAGACGCCATTGATGCGTACAATGCTAGCCCATTATGGGCAAACGCGATGGACAGAAAAATATCCTTCCTACATAAGAACTCATCTAGCTGGCGCCGGATTCTCCGTAGATTGGTAAACGCTAAGAACATGCACCAATACAACACAAAAGCGATGAGGGCAACTGCTATAACACCGTACGAGAAGTATCCTTGTGCCCAGAGAAAGATCCAAGCCGTGTGGAGAATTTGGGAGAGGATGAACAGCGCGTATACGGAGAAGGGGATGATCTCGGGCGAGAAGTAAAGGTAGCCATGCGTCCCGTATCTGGAGATTGTTGTCAGCCCGTATATTAACCAGCTGAGTTGCCATAGATACGTTAGGCCCCATAGCGCCCAGTGGACCCAAATAGGTGGCTCTGCTTTGGAATAATATACACCAAACATAGCATTTTCGCTGAAGAGTCCTGAAACAAAATACTTTTAAAATTAAACTAATTTGAAAAATAATAAAAAACGATCGTATTTAATAGATACGTTGCGATATAGATGTTTAATATGGCAAATTTATTTGGGAGTAAACCTGGGGTGTTATGTTCGGCGTTTTTGCTTTTCACAACAACATAGTCAGTGACTGCATTATTGCGTTCCCATATTTCACGTCATTGATTTAGATAATTAAAGAAGTATTATTTGCCAAGAAAACAGTTCACTTGGTCCAGATGTTTCAATTCGAAGGGGGGGGGGTGTAATCGACAATGAAAACTAAAAAGTAAACCCTTTTTATTGCACAAGTACTCGAATAACAAACAAAGGACTCGACCTGATTTAAAAGTTTAAGTTTTGCCTAATTTAAGAATTATACCTTTCTATTGAATTTAAATCGATTAAACACCAACGTGTTATGTGTGTGCTATTAACTAGTAAAACAACTTATTTGTGCCAAAACTTAAGAAGGGGGTGTACTATACCTGTTAATCTTGGAAGCAGTGGGTTCGCCAGGCAGCAGATGACAGTTGTGACGATCCAGGCCAAGAAGGTCAAAACGATCAGCGTTATATCCCCCGGTCGATGTTTAAAGAGATCCGACTGCTGTCGTTTCAGTTTTGGTATATTTGCTTTCGCCATTTTGATGATGTTGAATATGCGTTTGGGTGTTAGCTGTTTTAGGCTGTATAGGTAGGCAATACAATGCCTCTACGACGTGGATTTCCCTCTAGGGATAGAGGGAGAGATAGTGTGTATCAATATCCAATACCACTACAAGAACTACGCCCCTTTCGTTTAAATAATGTATCCTAAGTTTCTGCTTCGTTTGTCCACTTCGTGTTCAGTAGTTTATCATATGGACCTCTTAATCCATCGTAAAATGTCCATTTTCTGAAAAACACATTTCAACATAGAGTTAATACTATTATCCTCCATATGTACTTCGTGGTTATGTTGTTTGTCAATCTTATCTCCTTGTTATGGCTCACTGCCCTGTCACGGGCTGCATTCACATTAGAGCATAGCCGCTATACCAAAATAGCATTAATAACGGATGGTTAAAAGTTACACATAACCAAAATAAAACAATTAACCGAAACAATGCAACGTATTGTACTCTGTAAATTACAAACTTGGCTCTCGCTATCAATTGATGGTGTGTCAATTAGCTTAGTTTGTCGCAGTTAGATTGCTTTTGATAAAACATATAGTCAGATGGCAAACACTAATGCCTAGCTCACATAACGCCTTGGGTCACATTTGCTCCTATTTCCACTACGGCGGCCGGCCGATTGAGTATTATATTCAAAACTGAATACAAATTTGAACAAAATACTCAATCGTAAGGGCGCCGCTAATGCCTTGGTCACTTTTGCTCCTATTTTCACTAAGGCGCCCGGCCGATTGAGTATTACACACTACCCTACCTCGATCGCGCATGCGCGAATCTTTTGGCTTTCAAACATGTCGCTTTTGAGTATATCGACTGCTTAGTCAAAAGGTTAATACGTTTGGTGCTCGGAGTGAGTCAATATTGCTATTCGCTACACTTCAGTGGTGCAATAGTGAAGTCCATGTTCCAAGTTATATGATAGTTGAAGAAATAATGTAAATAATATCGTTTTAAATTTTAAAATATTTGATATGTCATAGTACACGGTACACAGCTGCAAAAGTTGATCAATACAGGGTACAAGGAATGTAAATTGTTCAATAGTACAGGGAGCGAGAAAGTAAGCTGTCCCGACCTCATGTACATTTACGTTGCAAACAGTGAAAGTAATGCTAAAAAGGCCGCCTGTTGATGCTTTGAGGTGTCATCAATTGTTATTTAATCCAAATAAAGTAAACATTATTTTGTAGATTTAGACACGGGCTTTCAAGTCGTATGCATTTTAGTCATTAAATTAACAAGAACGCTAGATTATACGTGTTACTAGGGTATCAAATTGAAATAAAATAACGAAATTAAATATCAACACGTTAATGATAAATGACTATCCGCTATCAGTATTAATGACTATTTGCTACTCAGAATAATTAAAATTGCCTGAACTACATATGAAGAATCTTTTTATAGAACCCCTTGAATGGTCTAATTCACTACCGTCAAAAACCCGACCATTCAAAATGTTTTGTTCAAATTCACAAAAATACAGTTGACTAACATACTAGAAAACGTATCCACCTATAACACGATGACACGCAGTTTAAACAACAGTTAACTGTTTTTTTGTTACATATCAATGTAACATTTTCGAAGGGACACTTACATGCTCCCTGTACGTTGATAGATTTACTGAAATGTATCGTGTATTGCATTTGGTTTTGCTTCACTGCGCCCACTATTATCTATCTTTGCCTATAGTGGTTTTTTGCCAACAATATTCTACACACTCCTTAATGAATCAATTCTATGTCTGGTAGAACACTAGAAATATATGTAAAATGTATTTTACGTTCAGAAATATGGAATTAAACCCACGTCCTCCATTTGCAACTAAGCTGTACCCTGTTTCCCTTTTAAACGTGGTCACGTGGTAGGGTAGTGTCAAAACTGAATACAAATTTGAACAAAATACTCAATCGTACGGGCGCCGATCGATGGATCGGAGCAAATGTGACCCAGGCATAAATCGGAGCTTATGTGACGAGCTAGGCTCGAAAATAAATCGATTTTTGCAAACTAAATCAGGCAAATAAATACTACGGAGGGAAGAATAAATCCCATGGAGACCAAAATTTGGGCAAGTTCATCTTAATTTCCCTTAAATCGTGTACCCATAATTTCTGATTTGTACAATTTGCGGAATTTATGTTCATTGCGTATGAAAAGTATGTTTAGCGGCCGAGGCTCATATTTCCGTGACATCGAAAGCTTAATTTGGAAAGCAACATATAAGCTGACACTGCCTATATTCCATGTAGCCTATTAAACTCCAATCCATAGTTAAACATGAATTTCGAATTCATACCTAAATCCTTTTACATCCTATAATAAACACAATATCCAATTAAACATACTTCGAAACATTTAGCGCATAACAAGCTAGACCCCGGTAAAATGGTTTCAGTATCTATCTGACGTCCCTCTCATGTTCATACGGTTAAACAATTTACTGTTTTACCACTTTGTAATTCCCCTTTAATTTGATATGTATCTTATAATGTAAGAGTTACCAAGATGGATCCCTCTGAAAAACACGTTAAATCGAAAGAGCCTTTAATTTTACATACATCAACGTTTGTCTATAATATTGTAAGTGTTACAAAATAAGGTATTTAAGTTTAACTAATTTGGTTTAAAATATTGACCTAAGGGATGTCGAGAAAGCATTTTATTATTGTAAGGCCAAGAAAAATAGAATTTGCTGGTGTCCTGACAGTAAAAGGCGATGGCAGACTTGATGTCATGGCAAATTAGGGTTTCGTGGAAAACAAAGAGTTAATAATTATTAAAGTAACATGAGTCAATAAAACGACGTGGTTTGTCTTTGACGCATGTTTGCCTCAGAAAAATGGTTACGTTTGTTCCTCTATTGGAAGTAAATAGTGTTGTTTAAAGGAAGTCTAAAATTAAAACAAATTAATAAATAAAATAAAAGATACGGGTACACATTTTTACAATTGAACTAAAAACCTGGTATATAAAAAGCCAATTGTTATTGACAAGTCAACTTTATCAATACTTTGTTAACCGTAGTATATTTTGCTTTGCCTTGAATGCATTTATGAGAAAGGAAAATACAGACCGTGCCCATCGGATTAACTTAGCAAAACTAACTATATAATACTTAAATATAGCGACATTCGACGAACAATCATTTTTAGCAATCCCTTGCGTTTTGAGGAATGTGGTTTCGCCACAAACAACTTTTAGTTCCCCTTGTATACAGTACAAGCACTGGAGCTGTACTTATGGAATACTGTTGTGCGAAAAGGAAATTGCAATAAGTCGTTTCACGAAGACTTACTGTGTAATTTTTTCACCTTTCTCTCAAAACATTACAGAAACTCCAAACTACAGTAGTTTCAACCATTGTCGTCTGAGACCAAATTTCCTAGGAACCCTGGTCCATATTGTTTCAACGAGAGAGGTGTCCTTTGAAAAGAAAGATACTCACCAACATACCTCGAACTTCTCATCTTGACTTGCTATTGCATTTATTTGTAGCCAATATGCAATCCAAACTCTACTAAAATGTACTTTCTCGGTCGGTTAATTGGTACTCAGTACTCATTCATGCCTTTGTCACATTTGCTCCGATTTTCACTTCGGCGCCTAGCCAATTGAGTATTTTGTTCCAAATCGAATGCAATATTGAACAAAACACTCAATCGGCCGGGCGCTGAGCAAATGTGACCCAGGCATTAAGGAAGTTCCGCACTTACATGGAGGAAGTTGAAAAATATTTTTGAAGAATCTCATTTCAACATTTTTTTAAGTTTGAATTCTACTATGATACGAAGATATTGATAAAACATGTTGAACAATAGTATTCAATTAATAAACTATGGAGAATTATAAACATAAAACTGCACAGAATTATCACCAGGCCATCGTGAGATATCACAGCCTTCTCTCAGTTTCCTTCTAGAACATTCTTGTGCATAGCAAAGATGGTCTGAGTATCAGAATGTCACCAGGCCGATCTACCTTATTTGGTTACGGTGACCTACGCTTCCATGCACTGACGATTATCACGCGGCGACTCTGTACACATTTGATACGGACTTTTTTTAATGATACGACGATGCTCCTTGCGGCGATAGCAGTCAACCGTTCATTGGGTCAAAAAATGTTAAAAAGAAACAATAGAACATTTAATCAACTGCTTTTATTTTGAACAATGTAATCTACCATGCCATACATATAAACATGCGGAAATTACAATTTTACTACTTCATCAACAAAATATCAAACAGACGTACCTGTAATAAGATAATGGCTAGCAACTAAATTGTTTTTAATTACAAGAAAGTGATAGACCTGACCTCAAATTAGATGAAGAATGAAGACATGAATGTACTTCCTTATATTTCCTAGGCTAGTATAATAGCTAGTATAATTTTTTCATTAATTTTTCGACATACCAGGTGCATGTACCTTAACAGATCAATTGTATCTTTTCCGCTCTGTATCAATGTAATATCAAAATAATTCACATACCTTACATTGGGTTCAACCTAGATTGGAGGACAATTTAGAATTTGACGTTTAAAAAACATTTCCATGGCAACTGCGCCGTACAACAGTTTAAAGTTCCATGCATCACGATCAATATTGACCATCGCTGTTAAAAAGTGACTTCATGCGATTGATAAATTATTCTTTTGACCCGACTTATGTTGACCGACGGAGTTAACAGGGATTTTAATGCTCTATTTAAATGGTTTGGGAAGTATATACCCACTGACCCGCATTCCAATGAAAATATCCTAGCCATCAAAGTTGATACATGCATATTGCACTCTAAAGGGGATGGTATTAGGCCAGCGTAAATAATCGAAGCGTTTCCGATAATCCCCGCGCTCTTTCATACTTAGATAAAGTGCTTAAATTCAAATAAAACAAAGTACTTTATGTTCGTCGAACTGGTGATTCGTTATAACCTTAGATATATTCCATCTCGCCTGAAATGGAAATTGATGAACTCAAATATACAAAGTATTATTTGGTTTCAGGGGTACGGATATAAGGCATGGGATGAAGAGCTCCATCGTTATTTAGGGAAAATAAACTTGACAACTCAGTTCCAATGACAACTTAAAAGCGTTTTATTCAGACAGCCCTGTATAATGAAAATAAGACACAACAGACTTGACATTTCTTATCCGTTATTTGCCTTTAATCGACGACACTTACGTAATTCAACCGCACACAAAATATGATTTTCGTGTAGTCTTATTTGTTTAGATTTCAGTAGAATGTCATACGAAAACACGGAATTTCCGTCACAGTTACAAAATTGTCAAAATTGGCGATAAATCCGTTCACTCAGCTCTCCTGTCTAAACCGCAGTAAAAACCGAGCGCGTGAAGTTGGGAATATGTTTCGATTTGTAGAATTAAATCGGTTTAGATGGTTAATTGTGGTGTATGATCTCAGGGTCGCGAGTAAATCTCAGGCACGACATGGAAATCTGAAATTATAGAGGGCGCATTTTCATTTTACACACGGCAAAATGAAACAAAGATTTCCCGGGAAATTTTGGACAATACTAGTATATTAATAGTCTATTGTACATTGTACAACCACATTTGATCAGCACGATCACAAATCACATAGGGACCAATTAATATGATCTAAAACAATCAACCACGTACTGACCGAGCTTAGTAAAGAAAAAATATCAAGGATCAAGGTAAATCACTTATGATCAGGAACAATCACCTAAACCAGGGACAATCAACTAAGATTAGAACAATTGAGTACAATCACAGTATCAAAACAAAATATTAAGAATCACAACCAAACAATTGCCCAGAAGAGTCAAGAAAAATTTAAAGTAATAAAAACAATCACTTAAGATTAAGAACAATCACTTGTAAAATTGTTTAGGATCGACCCAATCCCTAAGGATCAAGACAGATACCAAAGATCAAGATCATGAGGATATTTCTAAGGATCAAAAACATTATCACTTAAGATCAATAACAATCACCTAGGATCAAGATTAATCACTTAGAATTAAGAACACCAAGGGCTCAGAAGAAATTTTTGGATCGGGAAAAATCACTTAGTGTGCTGTTAATGGGTTCAATAATGTAACTTAAAAGTCCAATATAAGATGAGATATAATGCATTTTTATTTGAGACATAAATACTATAACTTAACAGACATCTAGCAGCCCCTCGGCTATTGGCTAAAACACATCACGTGGTACAAAAGTAGGTCGAATTTGTGTAGTCCCGCCATATTTAGACAGACTTCCGGTACAAGTGCACTTGGATTTGCGCCCTCTATAATTTCAGATTTCCATGTCGTGCCTGAGATTTACCCGCGACCATGATCTCAGGCCAGTCTGATGACCAGAGAACTAAATGCATTGATGAGCAACGACATCTATGAAATATCATTTTTTACATCTGATGGTCGGAGAACTAAATGCATTGATGTACAACGACATCTATAAGATATAATATTTTTATGACTGACGGAGAGCTAAATACATTGAGGTGCAACGACATCTATAAAATATCATATGTATGTGATTGTCGGAGAACTAAATACATCGAGGTGCAACAACTTCCATAAAATATCATATTTATATGATTCGGTCAAGCCAAGTAACTAACTAATTTACTAAGAATGGTGCCACAATTTAAGTAAACCTCTGGTTAATTATTTTCAATAAACCTATCAGCAAACGTGCAAATGATAATTTTGATGTTCTGTTACATATTGGCGAAGCAATCTTTGGGATATGACCTAAATTTCTGATTTTCCACTGTGTCCCTGTATACCCCTACTTCAAAAGATGTATGCTATTCGTCATTTTTTATTATGAACCAACCATAAATGTATTTTTTCTTGTTTACATACAGAATGAACTTTCTGTTTTCAAATATTGCAAGCTGGTACTGCATTTATTTGTTCGTGATATGGAGCAAACAAATGCGTGTCAATTTACAAGGATAAACAGGAAAATCCATATTTTCAAATGGATCCATCCTTGTCAAAGAACGTGAATGAGGATATGCCGTTTGAAAAACTCACAACATGTTTCAAGTTCTTACAATTCTTGGTTTAAAAAAATAAAAGTTTTGATTTCAAATGTAATATCCTACTCAATAAAATTTGTTGATATTTGTGAATTTTTTCTTTCGAAATGCACATTGCTGGATCACAGAACCTTGCCTTGTTCGAGATGCACGAAAAGTGTATTGTTAATACTTGACGTCGTTCGGATATTTGGATGTGATTTACGTTTTCGTTAATCTCCTACCACTGTAACTTCCAACTTAATTTTTGAAAGCCAAATGTGATAGTCACGAATTGATATTTAAGTCACACGTTATGCATATATCATGTGTGTACATTAACTGTCGAATACATGCCGATTTACATTTACATAAATATCCACAATTAACTCAAATCATCAATTCTCGAAATGGTTTATCATTTAACCTGGTGAGTTGAATGTTTCATATTAATTTATAATTATGTTATCAGATTTGAGTATGATATAAATCGAGGCTTAAACAAAGCAATAAAATTACGTAAAACCTTTTGTGAAAATTCGAACGATTTTTCAAGAATCTTTCTTCAAAGTGGTACCAAAGTGCTCCCCGGGAGTAGAAATTTCGTCTTGTGTAATCAAAAAAATAGAGCGGGTGGTTTGAATTTTTGTTTGAGTTTATAGCTTACATCTATAAATTTAAAAACATATCGCCTCATTGAGAGGTACATGCAGATTTTGGCGATCTATCATTATAAAAGGCTAGATATTGTGCAAAAACAGGAGTTGACACGCTTACATTTGGAAATGAAATTTCCTACATAATCGTCGACTCATGTTTAAAAATCATGAAAACAAGGTTGAACACAAAACATTGACCCAGTTACTGTCTATTCAGCATGGGTTCACTAAGGGAAATATTATTAATGACTTAAATCGTTTACGGTTAAGTTGTATTCCAAGAAACTTATCTATTTAAAAAAGCAAAATGTTCAATTTTGTTTTTCAATTATAAAAAATGGCACCTGTAGAGAACAACGTTTTCAATTTTTTTAAACGGATATATTTACTTATGCAACATTCATGGGCATGTGTCAGGGAGGAAATAAGAAGAATATGCATTTGATTATATATCTTGTTCCCAAAGGTACGAAGCTTTAAAAGGGACATATTTTTCAAATTAAAAAAAAATCAATTTTAATTTTTCAAATCTCAAAAAAACTTATAAAAATTCACAAAGTACTTATATAAAATCTAAAAACTTTAATAAAACACAATTTTAGTTTTGTAATATATCAAAATATTAAATGAAAAATCGATTTTTCTGTTTTAAATCTAAAAAACTTATAAAAATTCACAAAATACTTATCTAAAATCTAAAAACTTGAATGAAACAGGATTTGATTTTTGTAATTTCGAAATTCATTTTTCAATTTCAAAATATTTATGGAAAAATACCTAGATTACTTTAAAGAAATCAAATTAGTTTACAGATTTTAAAAATAGTTTTATAAAATACGATGGGACTTTTGCA